CGGAAGAAACTACAGCAGCATCCATGGGCAGTGACTCACCCACTCGATGTACCAACAGGGATTTGGGAAGAGGTAGGAGTAGACTTGATCACTCAATTGCCGAAGTCAGATGGATATGACGCCATTTTGGTTTGCACAGACCTATTCAGCAAACAGATTCACGCTATCCCCTGCATGACTAGCATCACCGCAGAAGAGGTAGCAGACCTCTACTACCGGGAGATCTTTCAACTCCATGGGTTACCGTTATGCTTTGTGTCGGATCATGGTCCTCAGTTTGCAGCGATGGTTATGAGGAAGCTCCTCAAGCAGCTGGGTATCAAAAGCGATCTGACATCTGGATATCACCCCCAAGCAAATGGACAGACAGAGCGGGCCAACCAAGAGGTGGAGAAATATCTTCGGCTATATGTAGGAAGGAGGCAGACGGACTGGGCAAAACACCTTCCAATGGCAGAGTTCGTTATCAACTCCAAAACCCACTCCGCACACAATCTCTCCCCATTCGAAGCAGTATACGGATACCAGCCCCTTTTCAACATCCCAGTGGGACAACGAGCAGGACGGAAGGATGTAGACGAGCGAATTGAGGTGTTGAAGGAATTGCGGAAGGACACCCAAGCAGCCCTGGAGACGGTAAAGAAGGAACAGAAGGCGGCGTATGAGAGGGGAAAGAAGGAAGCTCATGTATTCAAGGTTGGAGAATACATATGGTTGGATGCCAAAGATATCGACCTGAAGACACCAAGTCGCAAACTTTCAGATCGACAGCTAGGGCCATTCGAGGTATTAGAACGTATAGGAGATCTGGACTATCGCTTGAAGCTCCCTTGGGGGCAACACCGAATCCACCCAGTCTTTCACGTCGACAAACTCTCTGCCTGGCGGGGCAATGATATCAACGGCGAACGACCATCACAACCTGGACCAATAGAATTAGAGGAGGACGGAGCTGTAGGGGAGTATGACATGGAGAAAATTCTCAACAGCAGGATTCACCGAGGAAAGTTACAGTACGAGGTGAAATGGGAAGGCTGGGATGAAGGACATATCTCCTGGGAGCCAGCAGAAAACGTGGCAAATGCTCGGGAACTGGTGGAGGAGTTCCATGCCGAACACCCAGATGCAGTGGGGGAGTCGGACATACCAGTGCCGAAGAAGAAAAAGAAAAAGTCCAAACGATAACCATCGAGGACGATGGTCTTAGAAGGGGGGTAATGTGACAAAGTGTGTACTATTTTCTTTATTCTCCTATGGTCTATTTTCCTTTGACTACGATACACAACATCATTCCTGTTTCATCTCTTGATTCTACTTTCATTCCACTGTATTCCGTTACTTTCCACTACGTTCTATCAGTTTCCACATGACCAGGTCACAACATCATAGGTCACATGCCAGGCAGTATATATAGGACGACTTGTCACCTAGTCCCCCATCTTGACCTCTTTGTCATTGGGACTAGGTGCATATTTGTACTCTGTAGGATACTGGGTTATATTGATCATCTTTGTCATTGGGACTAGTTGTTGACTGTCGAGCCTCTGCTCCAGTCTCTGTGTGTTTGCTATCGGCGCTTCACCACAGATACATCTTTATGATGGGCGGCGCACCAGTATCATGGTCATCAAAGCGACAACCTATTGTTGCTCTTTCATCTACTGAAGCTGAATATGTTGCGCTCACGAGAGGATCTCAACAGTCCATGTGGATGAAGAACTGGTTAGATGAAGTTTTTCTGCCCCAACAGTTTCCAATGAGCATCTTCTGTGACAATCTCGGTTCAATAAGCCTCACGGAAACCACCAAGGCACATGGACTGTCGAAACACCTTCAAATCCGCTACCACTATGTCAGGGATTGTGTTCAGGACGGTGAAATCATGGTATCTCCCATACGCTCTCAGGAGAACATTGCAGACATCCTTACAAAGTCACTCCCGAAATCGACACACCAGAAAATCGTCAGAATGCTTAACTTGGATTGGAGAAGGCGTGGCACCAGGGGGAGTGTTGAGGAGTCAAGGATCAGTGTTGAGGGATAGGGAATACATTTAGGCATGGTGGTGCACGCTGCTTTCTTATCTGGTTCCGATAGTATCTCCGTCACTCATATATATTTCCTTTTCACTCGTTCTCACCCTCAGCTACCTACCGTTTGCTGAGGATATTCTCGTGTATATACTCACCTCGTCTACAGTTCTCATCCCAAAGTGTGCCATAGATCGAGAATCTGAATAGAACATTGACGCGTTTGCTAGTCAATGGAACAGGTGACCGTGAGACGTCGTAGGAACGCGTCACCGTGCCAGCTTCGCTTTCAACGTTCAACGTTCAACTCTCATCTCAGAAGATCAATTGGATGGCGACTGCTACACATCGCAACGAACACACATCATCTATAGCTTTCATTCCCCCAGAAACTCTATCCTGCCAGTATCGATTGATTCGGGATCTCTTCCGTCGACCGATCTCAATCCCCTCAAACTCTTTGCCAACATCTCAGGGAGGCTGAAAGCCTATCATGTCGAGATTAACGGACTGAAGGCAACTACTATCGTTTTGGAGAGATGCTTTGAAACAGACGTGGCGAGGTATCGGTCACTACTATCGCCTATTCATCGCATGCCAACACAAACACTCACCCATATATTTTCGTTCTACTGTGAAGAGCAACATCTTTTCGGCGCATACTGACCGGCGGCTATGGCGCTGTCTCTCGTTTTCGGTCGTTGGAGAGAAGCTGTTTTGGGAACATCTTGTTTGTGGTCGTCAATCGGTATCAGTTATGGGTATGTGCCTGCGCAACCTGATCGCTGGGTTTGGCCCGGGTTTTTACCGTCTCTTTGGAATCTTCGCGGAACGCTCCCAAGGCACCTCGTCAGATTCGGTTTCCTGATTTCCGGTGAGAGGTATGCATACCTCTCGGATCTGGCCCTAACTGACATTCCAATCGTTGGTGCAGCTCAACGTCCGAGGGTGAACTCCGTCTTGACATCATCTCTAATTCGACATTGAGGACGACTCCCACTTGCTTGTGCTTCCGTTACTTTTTGCACCGAAGGATGTCTGGGAACGAGATGGTGAAGTATCTCTGCTGTGCCGAGGATTCGGACACTCGAAATCGGAGTCCGTTTCGGAGTTTGCTTTTCTGTTGGGGAGGTCACTGGCAATTTGTGATATGTTTGACCTGCTGCGGGTGCTGTGGCGGAGATCGTAGGACATCGCACGTTTGGCTGTACCCTCCTGTTCGGGCTGAGCACCGGAAGCACGATTAGGTTCTTCCTGCATTTCTGTCAAACTAGCCTTTAGCTTTAGAATACGCTTGTCGGAGGATTTCCGCCCCAGGTAGATTTCAAGAAGTAGCTCCAAGAGTTTGATATAGGTCCTGTCAGTAACGATAGTATCGACCTGGAAACCAATCCCATCTCTTAGTGCGCGTTCTTGCGTTCTTGTCAGCGGATTAGCCACGACCTGACGACTGATTACAAACTCATTGGTGCAAAGGGTCCCGACGTAGTAGGGATACAAGGCGGTTGGGAAAGTCTGACGATAATGAGAGATAAATGTGTTGGCAGTAGAGTGGGATTTGTGCTTCTAGACGTACCTGAGCATGCAATCTCGGGTGGTTTGGTTCTGCTTTATGCTGATCGTCCAATCGATCACTTCTCAGCGCTCAGCTTTCATTTACTAGTGAGTGCGTCCCATTCTGGGTCTTCCTAAAACACAATGTCCATATCAAGGTTGAATGATGAAGACCGAACGAATGATGTTGTCGAGGACTGTAAAAACTAGAGAAGTGAAAATGGAGGGGGCTGGATCAAGACTTGATACTTGCGTTCAAGCCGGCGAACACGAAACTCAGCAATGAGATTCGAAAAGTTTTCTCCAGGACTCGTTGAGACAATTTTAATGAGACGTTGGTCCGACGGCCTCCAACAGAGATTCCGGTCCGAGACTAGGAACGGAACGGTCAGAATTAGGGGCTCTATGGTCGCTGGCCACCATTGGTGGACGATCGCGCTCACGTTCAGCAGTCCTCCCATGAACTCGACCAACCATGCTATGGTCTCATTGGAGACGCTGACGCCATTTCAGGACAAAGCTATTCAACTCGAAGACTTCCAGCATGGCCATGATAGTGTGTAATCTTTCTCAGACGTGCTTCAGCTAACCGCACTCAATCATGGCTTATTTTCAGCACATCCGTTGGATTTTTGGCCTAGATCACGGTGAATTTCCCTTCCGTAGCAAGCTTAATATAATTCTAGGTGTGTTATCTATGTCATGTCGACTGTGGGCATCATTAATCAAGCCTCTTTTACCCTCGTACAGTTTCGAAGGATATCCTGGAGTATCTTAAAACAAGAGCGTTGATTTTTTCCCCAACCACTGAGATTCTGGAAAGGGCTTTCCTTCGAATAAGCGGAGGAGCTAGGTTGAGTTGGCGGAACTTTTTTCCTCTCGCATTTTCGCTGCATAAGAACTCTTTTGCAATCATGGTGTGTAATTCGTCTCTTGACACCCTAACCACGAATTCAACGAAACGTCACGGGGCGCCCCCGAAAGTTCTGGAATTATAACCGATATTTCGATTGTGGTTTACACTTTAGGGAGTCGTTGTGATGGCACTCGCACATATTTCAGTCCATGGCTACGGGTACGGCGGTCGCCAAATAGCTTGACATAGTATGTCAGTACACATCCGCTCTTTCTACTTCTGATTCAGTCTAACGTTGGACTTTCATCAGATACCTTGCGTACGTCGGTGAACTTACAAACCCGAGCTCTCCGGTGAGCCCAGCCTTTACTATCGCTAGGTTGCAGCGTACCAGTGAAGATGTGACGTCCCATGCTTAACCTACACGCTGCAGCCGATGAAGGCCTCGCAACCGCGAACTGAGTGATTCGATAACTCAGTGGATTTGCGGTCGGGATTACGACAACCGTAACGACTGCATACCAGCCGTACTGAGATGAATAGCCAACCAAGGAGCAGTTGCTTCCTTGGCTCAGTTGGCTAGAGCGCAGGTCTCATACTGAGTATGATGTTAATGATTTGAACAATAATCCTGAGGTCGCAAGTTCGAGCCTTGCAGGGAGCATCTCATTTTGTCGAATGCCTTTCTTTTCCGCTTTTCTTGCAGCATCTCAAACTGTCAAACCGTCAAAGACGAGGTTTGATTCAACACCGATTACAACGTTTTTGGAGGATAATGGCGCTCGCGGATTCTGAGCCAACTACTTATCATACATAGACGGGAGGCTGCCTCTGATGAACGAACGCGAGAATGAGGTTGTAGTAGGAGAAAAATATAGCTACGGTACAGTACAAAGGAGAGGACATTTCGATACAGGCAATTAGTTAACTTAAACTCTGAGAGTGACATTATTCTCCCGAAAACACTGAGAGATCGGGTCATTCACAGACAAGATGTATAACATCCGGAATACAGGTACACAGTAAACGGTCAAACTACTTACAAACCACTTCCGCTCGCAAGCGGAAAAAAAGAACAAAATACAAAAAAAAAAGCAGAGAAATGACAGATCTAGAACAGCCCACATCAGTGACCATATACTCAAAAATGTCCATTTATCTCTCAGTCCGTCTCCCTCTTATAGACTCTTCTCCTCCACTGTCCAGCTCTCCACCCTCTTCACTCGTACTCTCCAAAATCGATGACCGGGGTGAAGGGGGTGGGTGTTCACCTCCACCCTGACGAGAAGGCCGCATCGGAAGCGGCGGACCCACGCCAAAGTCCATTTTCGTAGGCGACCTCGCGGAAGGATGTATGCTGTTCGTAGGTCTGGGAGGTAACGGTGGAGCGAAGTCTTGGGGAGACACCGCCGGAGAGATTACAGGAGGTGGGGGAGCAACTTGAATTCTTGTCGTTTTCGACCCGTAATACAACTCTGCTGGCTCTTGATCGGACGGCATTGGAGGGAGTGGGTGGTCGGGCGAAGGTGCGTGGTGGCCATCGTCAGTATCGACGGTTGTGGTTGTGGTCGCGGTAGGCGAAGGAACTGTAGTGGAAGTGGCGGCGGTGTCGGCAGTTGAGGCATTAGTACCTTGAGGTTGCCCATGTCCATCATCCCGGAACAGCACCCCAGCGTTCGTGATGAGGTCCTCCATCAATGAATCCTTAAAATTCTGCACTGCCAATAATCCATCTTTCGGCACCTCATCCTCTACACCGAAGATGACGCCACCAAAAACGATAGCGAGGTTCTTAGGATCCATCTTGTTTTTGTCAGAATGACTGGCCACTCGTGAGAGATGCTCGAGGAGTGATTTGAGCGTTGCGAGGTGAACAGGAGGTAGCCGGCGCATCTTCGAGCGTAACAGCACAAAGTTGTTGGAAACGTGGTCAGCTGGGAGGGGAGTCAGGTGGGGACGGCACACTTTCCATGCAGGTGAGCACTGACCAAGATCTTCAGAATGTTGTACCCTCTCTTGTAGTGAAAACCGAAACACGGGTTCAGGAAGTTCGCGGAGGTATAGCTGTTCATCATTGTTCAAAATCCACGAGAAAGTAACGAAAGCAAGAAAGCACCTTCAGAAGCGAAGCTACCGCAAAGATGTCATCCTTGGGAGTGAATGAAAACGCCCTTTCGTCCCTCTCCAGTTCGTGCTGCATCGCTTGAACGATTGCATGGCGGCCTGAAACCTACTAGGCAATAAGGCAAACATACCTCTGACGGACTGGGTCAAACTCACCCGATAAATCCCTTCTGCTTCTAAGCCCCTCGTATCAATCTCCGCTATACAAATCTGTATTATTTTGGGCACCTCCCCCTCCGGAAGATTCTTCGTCGTGGCATAGTCCAACAGACTGAACCCAAAGATCAAATCATGGCACTCTCCAACGATACAGTTCTGATAAAGTACTGGGTCAAGTGTGGGTTTGGGTATAATCGATGCCATTTTAGCCTTGTCCTTTTCAGGTGATATCTTGGAGACTACTGTACGAGCGTGAGAGTAGAGTTGGGTCTGGGTTGCATAGGTTGCGCTACAGGAAGTGGTTGATGAGAAAGGATAAAAACCACATCTTTAAAGTGGGTGCCCACGTTAAATTATCAGTGTATTTCTCGAGTATCTTCTTGATCGTGTCTGCACCTTCTTCCACGAACAAGACTACACTCTAAAAGTAACTCAGTTTGAGACGGTGTAGTCGAGACGAAGATCAGCTCTAGACTCACATTATACCCACTCTCAAGCGTCCTTACCCTTCTCAGCCGCAACGTCTCTAGCCAATGGACACCCTTCCGATACTCTTTATCAGCTTCATCAAGCTCTCGTTTCGCACGAACAGTCCTCAAAGCGTGGTTCTCCTTTCCTCCGCTCCCTGCATTGACAGATCCGGACTTCTCTAGAAATCCGATGAGCGAGTTGAGTTGTTTCTTTCCTTCTTTTGCAAAATCTGAAAAAGCTGTTGCTGAAGAGCTGGGTGATCTGTTTCGGCCACCTGCACCACCGGAAGGTCGACGATCAAGGGCGCGCAAAGGCTGAGGGGAGGTTACTGTTGGGCGAGAAGATGAGGGTTGAGAAGTCGGTTTGAGACCTTGATAGTCGGGGGAAAAACCGGCGGTTGGTGACAAAGTTGGGGCTGCGGCAGCTTTCTTCGAATCCTACAAGATGACTGGAATTAAAAGACGAGCTCCGCCCTGTACAAAAGATGATTTAAACGCGCACCTCGACCTCCTGAAACTTCCTTTGATATCTACTCTTTAGCTTTGGCAACGTAACCTCTGCATACTCTTGATACGCTATCCCTGACTCCTTCAAATCCTCCTTGATACGCTTTCTCGTTCGTTCTTGGGTTTCCTATTAAACAGAAGATGAGATTACACTCAGCTGAGCATAAAGATTTATACCTTGAAGTTCGTGAGAGGTTGTATGACATCCGTTGATAACGTGGCGATGAAAGCCTGCCTCGCGTGAACTTCTACAGAACTTCAACACGTTAGAACGCACGAGAGACCTTGAGATATAAAACGTACACGGACCTCGCTCTACATTATCCCTGACCTCTGACCAAGCACTTCGCGTAGAGTTGAGATCACTTCGATCATCGAGGAAAGAGTCGAGAGATTTGATCTTCCTGTATAACTTGACCAGAGATTCAACGCTAATCGAGTAAAATGGTTGGGGGAAAGTGCCTAAAAAGTAGAGAAGTGACTGACTATGTTTCTTCAATTCGTTTGCTATAAGGAAGCGAATTCAAAACCGGGGGTCAATGCTATTCATAGTGCCCCACTCACCGCTCAACGAACATATTCATGTAGCTATCACTGAGAAACTTGAGCTGGGTATCGAATAAAGGAACCGGGCCGTATATTGCTGGACCGTAGTCTGTCGACGGCCTTGAAGGCGCTTCGCTCATGGCCGCAGAGTATTTGGAGGATCAAGAAAGAGTTGAAATTCTGAGAACAAAGAGTCGCGAGAGCGATTGGGCCGGAACATTCCCGCGCGTGTGCATCGCCACCGGCTCGCCAGTTTTCCCTCTGATTCGAATATGTATCTTCTTGACCATAAAAAAAACTTGATTTTTACCCTGAGCCAAATTCTTGCGGATCTTATCAAGCCTCCCATTCGCCGTAACATTTACGCCAGGCCGTAGAAAGTAGTGTGGCAGTGGCAGTGCACTCGCGGATCTTTTGGGCGCCAAATGGGCTCTTATGCAAGCCCATATAAATCCCTCGCTAAGCCTCATTAGCATGTCTTCCTCCTCGTACCAACCACCACGCAAGGCTCTGCTTTCACCAGCTCAGTTGGAATGGTTCCAATCATCAGAAACTCATAAAAGGATAATTACCTATATTGAAACTCTGAATGAAGCTATCGTAGGCGCGAAACTCTCGGATCAATGCGAAGAGTCTGAGGTAAGGTGTTGACAGCCTCTCTACTTGCATAGTCATTGACATTGGCAACACGTTTGTAGGGCGTAAAAGCGTTGCTAAATGTGCTCTCAAAGGTGGAAGAAATGGTCAGAGACACGCCTGCCGTTGAAAACTCTGCGTCGAGATTCGGAAATCCGGCGTTCAGAACGTTTTATGACAAAGTTCAAGAGGTGCGTAGTCCGAGTTTTTAGTGGAGGAACGTGAACAACTGACTATAACCTTGCAGGCATCAGAAAGTCTACACGCTGAAATTCCAGGTCTATCATCTGAGTCGATACCGGAAATCTCTGTCTACTTCAATGAATCATGGGGAAATCGATCCCGAATCGATTATGGCAGCGGAATGGAGCTCAATTTCCTGTGTTGGATGTACGCATCATTGCCACTATAGTATCCATCGACGTCGAACTCACTTCTCTAGAATATGCCTCGAACACTTGGGTGTGTTCCAAGAAAAGGACCATAAGGCGCTAGTCATGAAAGTCTTCTGGAGGTGGGCTTCTACTCCTGTTGATATCTCCTGTTTTCGGTCTAAAATGGGTAGTTTTCCAGGTACATCGGCGTAATGCGAGTTCTACAGTCTACCTATTGGCTCGAACCAGCTGGATCCCATGGCGTATGGGGCTTGGATGACTATCACTTTTTGCCATTCTTGTGGGGATCCTCACAACTGAGAGGTGCGTAACGGCAGTTCCAAACCCGAGCGAGATTGACCCTATCAACGCCAGGCCACAAATACATTCGACCAAAAGCCATTCACGATGCCGAAATTGTCGAAGAATACGCGAAACAATACATATATTTTGCTTGCATTCAATTTATCAACTCTGTAAGGAATCCTCTACCATTCTACATTGTCGTGCGTGGATTGACAATTTCAAAACTTCAGATCAAAACCGCTTCCTTACGTTGGCATTCACCCATGTTGGACGATATCTCCGCGGTGAAAACATGGGAAAAAGTCAATTCGGGAATGATAAAAATGTATCGCGCAGAGGTCCTCAACAAACTACCCGTCATGCAACATTTCCTCTTCGGATCCATCCTATCTTATGACGGTCCTCCACCCTCCGAGGCTGGAGGCGATTCCGATTCACATGAAGGACACGCACACCCCCACATCGTTAGCGGCAAGATCATAAATGGGAAGGTCATCAATGGTGGAGATTTAGGCGGAGCAGGGCAACGAGAGGTTGGATGG